AACCTTATCTTTAGGTCGCGCTTAATGATTTTATTGATGACTTCAACTTGGCCATTGGCTTGTGGGTGATCTGGGGAAGAGCTAAAATGCTTTATCCCGAGTTGTGCGCAAAAGTTCTTGAACATGGGATTGTCGAATTGTTTTTTGTTGTCAGATATGATGGCGTGGGGTATGCCAAATTTGTAGATGAGGCTTGTCCACATGAAGTGGGTGTCTTGGCCTCGATGATGGTAGCCAATAGCTCGGCCTCCACCCACTTGGTGAAGTAATCTACTGCTACCACATCGAACTTCATTTGACTATTTCCAAGTGGAACGGGCCCAATGAGGTCTATCCCCTATTGGGCGAATGACCAGGGGCTCGAGATCGGCGTGAGGAGGTCGGGCGACGAATTTATAGCCATTCCGAACCTTTAGCACTGATCACACTTGCGAGAGAACTCCATGCCCTTTCATGGATAGCCTTTAGGGCATATTCTGCCTCTTCCGAGTCTAAATGCCTAAACAGGGGAAGGGACAATCCTTGCTTATACATCATGTTGTCCCAAAGGACGTACCCCGTTGCCTTGCACCACGCCTTCTTCAGGTTGGCCTGTTCTAGTAGTCCTTCTCCTCGGAGGAAGGCTTCGGTAGGATCCATCCAAGTCGGTACCGTAGTTTCTACGTTCATCGCCTCTAGTTCTTAAACAGAAGGTGCTTCCAGGATTTCAACTGCTACTGACCTAGGCAGTTCTGTAACGCCCTAGAATTTCCATCATCCCAAGCGGGGACAATAACTAAATGGTGGTTGCTTAACGTTTGGGAACCTTCTGTTAAGGTTGACTTTTTACTCTAGAAGCATGTGTCGGTAGCCCTGTCTGACCACGTTTTTTACCCCTTTCCCATTATTATTTGCCAAAAGGACCACATATTTTTCTAGTAGAACATGCATAGATTATTTCGACATAAAAGTCAAACTATGGTATTTTAGGAAAAATATGAGAAAAATACGGTCAAAGTTGGAAGAAAATAACAGAATTATGTTTTTGCAGAATTGCGCCCGGCGCATTTTGGGATGACAAAATGTCAAAACGCACGTTTTGATTAATGAAGGGCAAGGATGACATTTCCCACATGTTCAAAACCGTGAGTCCAAGTCCAAGTCCAAGTCCATGTGAGGTGGTTAGATGAATCTCAACCCATTTCCACCTAAAATAGATGGGAGTTTCAACTAACCTATGGTGCTATAAAAGGGAGCCATCCATCCAGCAGAATCCCATCCCTTCCAAGCTTCATTTCATCTTCTTTTAGATGCTCTCTAGTTGTAGAACACGTTTTTAGGGTTTATGTTCACGTTCTAGTTCTTCATATCTTTGTTTTTCACGCTGTTACCTTTTGTATTGCTTTTAATTCGAGTTCTTGCTTCTGTTCATTGTTCATTCTGTTATTTTAAAGTTCTTTAGCGAGTTTGAACTCTCCTCACGCTCGAGAGAGAAGAGGGTCAAGCTAGAACTCCTTGGACAACTTATTTATTCATTTAAATTCAATGAAAAATACTTTCTTTATATTTTCGTGCATTTACTTTCATTTAATTATGTTCTAAATTAGTTATCAACCTCATTGTGGAATGCCTTAGTCAAACGATTTGATTTTCATCACGCTCGGGATTTTGGTCAGATTGTGCCTGGCAATTTTTGGGGTTGATTTCTAAATACTTCTCTTTACGTCTTTTTTCCATTTGACCAGTGGGAACTTAATTTGTACACTAAAGCCCAACATTGGGAAAGATTGTTAGATAAAATAATAGGAAACCAATATGGGACGTGACTTAGGAATAAGCACATAAAACATGGTACTGCGCATAGGCCCTCTAACCTATAATGCAGATGAGTTGGTAGATATTATCAAGGATTGTAATCACACATAGGCATATGATTGTAGGTTACCCTAGCCTCTGCAGCAACCAAAAGCGGTAGTGAAAGAGTAGAACTCAAGTCCCAAGAAATGTCAGGAATTGCGTCTGGTGCATTTTCCCGACATAGTGTGTTTTCCATGTTTTGCATCAAAACTAAGGTAGGAGACAAGAAGGTTGAGTTTCATTAAATTGCTTGTTAGTTAAACCCCCGAACGACAACATTTCATTACATTTTTCTTCCTAAATCACAATTGCATATTTGAACCGTTTCACTGCATTACTTGATTTTGAAAAGCAACAAGTCCCTGAGGATTCGACCTTGGATTACTTCTGAGTATTACTTGTGACCGTGTGTGCTTGCACGAGTCAAGGTAGAGAAAGTCCCAACACCTTCCGTCATGGCTAGCGGTTGAGCGATCTATTTCGTTTGGTTGCGATAGTGGCTTCCCACAGACGGCACCAACTATTGATTCAAAAATCAGTCGAGGCACGAAGAGTGATATGGGAGGTCGGGACGTGACACTTAGAATGCTTCAGGAGGTATCTGCAAGGAGGTAAGCCACTTCAACATCCAAGTGAATATAGAATCCGAGCTCAATAGATCAACATCAGACAAATTTTCATACCTGGACTTGTGGTGGGGTGGTGTATTTATAGCGGTCAATGAGGCAGGTAGCTATCCCATCCGGGGATTCCCTTGCTCGAGCTAGGCTCCCTTAAGCGACCTCCAGTCCTTGATATTGACCAGTCCATTCCCCGCCACCTCAGGTGAGATTTAGCACCTGCCTTCTCCTGCTAAGTGACCAAGGCCGACCTGTTAGGTCAACTTCTTCGGCTTGCTGTCCGAAGTGCAAGGGTAAACTCGGACTCAGATAGGATAGGATTGTGCCATACTCAATTTCATCGAGCCTCTCTTACTCGAGCCATCAGGCAATGCGGGTCAAGCTGTCCAACTCTTGTTTGCAGACCGATTGGCTTATCTCGAAACCTGTTCCGGATGTGCCTCCGCGCTGAAATATTACATTCCAAGATCTCGCCCAAATAGAGAAGTGAATCTAAAGGCCAAAGAGTGATCTTTGAACGCTACTACGCATCCTTCAAAATAGTCTCGTGTAAGGTAGGTTTGGGTATAGCAGGACTTGAACCTGCGACCATTAGGTTAAAAGCCTCATCCACCACCTATTTTACTTTTTTTGGGTGTATAGCTCCCGATAGTCGATACATAGACGGAGGCTTGCGTCATGCTTATTCTGGAAGTTATCGCTCCTTCCCCTCGTAAACTCGGTAAAGCGGCTTCGCTCCTCGCAGAAATTCCATGAATAAGTCGGGTGTCTACAGTTTGACCCTCCAACAGTGGTTGAATCCTTAGCCGATCGAAGTATAATCGTTTGCAAGCCCTGCCTTAGAGCTAAGGTTAAAATCTAGTTCTCAAATTTTAATTAAATAAAAAAAACTCCTGAAATTGAGGTTGAAACTCGCATCCATATATCCAAGTCCAAATTTTTTGACCTCCGCCCTCGAGGGTCGAAGTCTATTTCTCAAACGTTATTTTAAAACCAAATCCTAGAGTTGAGGTTGAAGTTATACTTCTCCATTTCATTATCGGTCTTTTTCTTTAGCCACATTCTCTCTTCCACCCGTTTCTCGTTCTTCCTCAACCTCCTATTTTTTTCTCATAACTCTCTTCCTCTTCATCTTTTCTCAATTTGTTTAAATCGAACTTAGTCTTGGAACGGAGTAGTTTGCCATCTTTTAATTTTTTAAACATGTATTAGTTGTCATTTATTGTAAAGTTAATTATTACATTCGTATAGGAATTAAATAAAAATATTATCTAATTTCAGCCAAAGTGAGCATAGCTCAATCGTAATTGACATATACTTGTAACCATGAAGTTGTAGGTTGTGAGTTTGATCTCTCACCCCCACATATTCGACTCAAAATAATATTATCTAATTTCAAGTTGTATATCTTTATTTTTTTTTATATTCCCTAAATCCAAGGAATCTCATGCATCCAAAAATAATATAGAAAAAAAAATTAGAAATCACATAAATGCATGAAATTCCCTATTAAAGTTAATTTCAAAATAAATTATAAGAAATTTGTTTACAAAAATTTAAAAAAAAAGTGCAAGTTTGAGAATTATATTAGTAGTGTTATGATTTTTCTAGAATTTATAAGTGTACAAAAATTCTCAAGCAAACAAAAAAACATAACTTTTCATAAATTTAAAAGAAAAATAGTGTTCTCTTTATGTATCTTTATAAATTTCATAAATACATTAAATTTTCCATTAAAAATTAATTTATATAATTCAAAACAGTTTTCATTAAAGATTTTAAAATGAATTTTAAAAATTATGAACAGAATAAAAAACAACAACAAATAGAGATTGATTACTGTTCTCTTCATGGAATTTACGAAATTTCCTTAAATACAAATAATTTTTTTTTTCCAAATATCCAACGACGGAGATTCGACAATAAAATTTTTAATTTTATTATATTCTTGAAGTGAGGAAAATTATATTAAAATTCTAAAATAAATTTCCATATTTTTTCAATGGCATTTATTTATGTTACCATAATTACTAATAATTACTAATTCATGTTTTCCTTTTAAAATGCTGCTATTGATAAACTGGGTAATTTAAACATAGAGTAAAATTAATCTTTTATGGATTAAAATAAAATTAATCTTGTATGGATCTTGAATAATTTAATAAATTTGATAGTAAAATGTAAAATACCTATAACCACTGTTTCCACAACTATTGTATGGTGCTAACACATTCCCTCTACACGACTCCTTATCGCAATATGATTTATGTAAACTAATTTTTCTTTTCATTTAATGAGGTGGACAACTCCAAATTCTTTTATTTTAAGAAATGATCATGGACCACTCCGTATCAGGATCACCTTGCAACATATTATATATACTACTGTATTGTTATTACACATTATACACTAATATTGCGATGGCCATTTTCAAGTTCATAAAATGATAAAGAGAAATATATTGTGTGAAATTTTGCAGTGGGTTTTGATATTTATTGTTTTTGAAAACCCTCTCCTCTCCATCTCATTTTTCCAACCAGGCACAACACATTGACTAAATTAAAGGCAAGAAGGAGGCAATTGTTGGCCAGAAGCATAACCCCTCGCATTAGAACAATAAGAAGTTGCAGGCCCACTACCATTGAAGCTCAGGTTAATGTCTCTCAACACTAGGCCTTGGCATGGAAAAACTTCACTGCAACCGAAATTTACTGCCACTTGGGTACTTGAAGTTCCCCTTATGCCTTCATACCTTACATCTCGAATCTGCACTCTCGACGTACTCTGCAATCACACACACATTTGACTTTGAGAATAGTGATTCATAATAATTCCATCATTAGCTAAAATCCAACGGATCTCAAGTTTCGTACCCTTTTATTATTGGGATCGCAAGAGCCATCAATGCAATAGCTCTCATCAATGATGATAGGATTTTTCACATTGTTCATTTGCAGATTGATGTATGCAATCTTGCTAACGACGCTTGGCAATGAAGTGGACCATGATTTGATTCTTACACCGTTGGTCGTCCCGGTAAATGTGGAATCTCTCACTGTGATTCCGGTGACGTCTTCTTCATTTGGGTACCGTCCGAGGCTACCAATGCTAATTCCATGGCCAGGACCACAGTGGACGTTGGTTATGTTAATGTCTTTGCTTCCAGGGCCCAAGGAGATGCAGTCGTCTCCAGTGCCGATCACCGAATTCTTGATGTTGATACCAGTCGACCTGGAAATGTGTATGCCGTCTGTGTTGGGACTTTTGTCTGGAGCTATCACTGTCACGTGGTCAAACGTGATATCATGGCATCCGTGCACATTGAAATGTATGCGCTTGCTATTGATCGAGGTTATGTCCCTTATCGTCGCGGTGTTCACTGAAGTGAGTTTCAAAGTCTACATAGAACAAAACCGTTACATTAATTACAAGTTGGTATGTCGTTTGGGAGAGCATTCAAAATAATATTTTTAATCCTGAGAAACTTTAGTGGATAATAAAAGATATCAATTTGACGTTTGGTTTCATATCCTTTCAAGTGTTTATGAGTGCTTTCCGGTGAAACACCTCGATCAAAAGCACTCTACATACAAGGGGTGTACATCAATCGAAAATAAAATAAAATAAAAAAAAGTCATATCCGTTTGTCATTTGCTGTGAAGATGTCGAGGGAAAAAAAAAGTTGAAGTTAAGATAATGAGAGGAGGAGAGAGGAGAGGGGAGGGTAAGAAAATAAACTTGAAAATAAAATATATATGAACCTTTGAAGGATAAGAAACACGAATGATAAAACAGGACGGAAGAAAAAGAAATTATAGAGAAGATGGACAAAGTTAAGAAAGAGTTAGATAGAAAAATGAAAGGTAATAGATAAAACATAAAACAATCAAAAAAGGTTGTAAATATTCAAAATAATTAAATTAAAAAAATAATAATAAATGAGTCATTCACCACAATCACCTGAATGACAATTAAAATATATAGATAATTAATATATATATGTGGAATAAAACTGTCCTCGGATCGACAAGGGTTAAAAATCGACTTATCGACATCAATTCAATCGGTCTGATCAATTTGTTTGAGCAACTTTGTACACACCAAAAGTACTTCTCACGAGGAATTTTAAAGTGCTAAGTTTGGCAAAACATGAAAACATAGTGTTTTTAAACATGAATGGTTATTCTTAAAAGCCATGTTAAAAGTACCCCAAACATATATAGTTAGATCATAAATGAAGTGATAATTTATGGGCTAGAAACAAACGAAAATATACTTACGATTGGAAGGTTACCGCATCCTCCGCCTTTGGAGTGGCAAGACCAAGCAGTAGAACCTCGACCGTTCAACCAGCCTTCACCATCGATGGCCAAGTTGTTAACCCAACGGATACTGAGCCAATCGTCAAGGGTGGAGAGAGGGTTGCCGGCGGGAGGAAATAGAATGCCATTAATCCGTAGTCCAATGGGGCCATTGCATGGACCTTGAAGCCTCACTGGCCAAACCAAGAACTTCCCATGCGGTACTAAAACCACACCACCTCCATTATTTGCACACGCTTCGCTCCATGCACTGCTTAAAGTCTACAGATCCAACAACACAAACCACCTCTCATTTTTTATTTATTATCAATGTTTTTATTTTAATCTTTTGGCTTCAATTTTAAATTTTGAATATTTTTCCTAATAAATCTTTTAACTCATTAGATACGTTTGAGGCGTTAAAAAATCTAGGTACTAGACCAATTGAAAATTTAAAATTTTACTCGGTACGTTTTAAAATTCAGGACCCATTAAATAGATAATAAAAGTTTATTGACTTATTACATTTTTATTTAATTTAGATTTAGATACAAAACCCTCTCAAAACTTCAGAAACAATGTTGTAATTTAAGCTAAAAAAAAAAAAGGAAAAAAAAACTATGCTTACCTTACTGTTATCCATTGTTGAATTAGGTCTGGCACCGAATTGCATAATATTGAATAGTTTATTTTGGGCGTAACATTGAAAAATGCAAAGCGATACCAAAATCAACACTATATATCGAACTGTTAACGAAAAACCCATTTTTCCTCTCAATGTTGCCACCGACAAATGTTTGACTTTGTATATAAAAAACTCCAAATAGGCATAAGAGAACTGATTTTTGGTAGCTATATGGTTATCTTTTTCGTTTATATAATAAAATTTTTAACATACTAAAATGGAATTACTCTCAGCATTTTAGTTTTTATTCCTTTATTGGTCAATTATTTTGGCAAGAAACTAACAATAATAATTTTGTTCCTAAATAGCAAAACTGAGGTTAATGGGGAATGAACATTTTAAGGAGAGTCAAGTTTATATTCTTTAAAATGATCTTTTGTGTTTGATTTGTTGAAAAATGAACTAAAATTGGTTGGAGAGAAAAGGTTCCGTTTGGAGTCAAAATCTTGCGTTGGAATATTATTATTATTTTCTTTTTTCAAAACGTAGCATTGAAATTAATTACTTTTGTTTTCATTGAATTAGAATTTTTTAGTACAAGATGTTGGGTGGAGATCAAACTCACAGCATTTGGAGATATATATCAATTATAGTTGAACTATTCTAGCTTTGGCTCATTGAATAAGATTGTTCAAATTAAAGTAGATTTTTTTAGTACAAGATGTTGGGTGGAGATCAAACTCACAGCATTTGGAGATATATATCAATTACAGTTGAACTATTCTAGCTTTGGCTCATTGAATAAGATTGTTAAAATTAAAGTAGAGTTGTCACATGATGCCTCTACCCGTAGTTTTGAAGTTTTGGTAAGAAAATATAAAAATCTTCGATGTGTACTACTAGATTTTTTTTGGATAGATGCAAAAAAATAAATATTGTTGTCAAATTTGAATTAGTTTTTTATCACAAGTAAAATATCTCTTTTTCTAATTTTTTTAGTCAAATATTATCTGTTTGTAATAAAAATAAAATTTATATGGTTGAATTACAGCTTCAATCCCTAAACTTTTGTGTGATTCATTTAATTATTTCGTTCTCAGTTTGTAGTGTTTGAAAAATAAACTTGTTTCATAACTAATTCAATTTTCAATTTATGAATTTTTAAGATCATTAAATAGAAAAACAGAATAATTTTTAAAAGGGGATTTGTAATGGGTAGCATATAAGTTTTCTATATTTAACAAAATAGCATGCATTTTTTATATTTTGAAATATAGCATTTTTTTTTTAAATCCTGATTTTAAAATTTTCAGTATTCCCAAATTACCCTTTTCAGTTATCGCTTCGTTATTATATATCAAACATATATCACATATATATCAGGAGTATATCTGACAACATTAGTATATCAGAAGTAATTCAATGGTATATCAGAAGTCAATCAGTTCTAAGAAAGTTGTATGCTTTTGAAGAAGCTTGTACAGTTTGGGAAGGGGTTTTGATTGATCAAAGAGAAGAATCTACTTCAACCGATATGCCCTTAAGTCAATTTATCCAATTGAGGCATTCTTGATTGAGAAAAAAGAATTCCATCCAGATGAAAAGAGACTCATTCCTGTATCAGTAGTGAAGAACTATGCTTCAAAACTTGCAGCAGGTGTGCGGAGTCGGAGCCCGCCATGTTCGCCCATTGGGCCGAGTGTTCGCCCACTTCAGAGTTTTAGCCTTTAGATAACAAAAAAGGTGTCTGCCCCTTAGGTCGCCACGTTCGGACTCATGTGCCTTACAGAACACGAGGTCTGTGTGTCTGATGCATACAATTAACCAACCTTGCAACGGCAAAAGGATTACGTCCCCCCATACTACGATTCCTTGCGGTTCGAACCCGGTGCCGCATTAGGTTAGGGAGTTGGGGAAACTTCCTCTTTGGCTTTGAAGCTATAGAAACAAAAAGGCTACTTACTAGCTTTTCGATAAGAGTTTGTGCGTGGGCCCTGTTAGGGTTGACTTTTTACTGCAAAAACATGTGTCGGTAGCCCTGTTTGACCACGTTTTTGACCCATTTCCCATTACTATTTGCCAAAAAGGACCATATATTCTTAAAGTAGAACATACATAGATTATTTATGCATAAAAGTCAAACTATGGTACTTTAGGAAAAATATGAG